ATCACATGGTGCCAGATAAAATGCAACTGATTAGCAGCAGTTTTGAAACAGCTTCAGGAAGAAGAAGGAAAGACAATAAGAAAGAGGAGATAAAAAGGCAAACGTGTTCCAGGGAATTATGCAAAGAAGAGACACAGAAAACATAGGATCTTCCTAGGGAAATCAACAGATTAAAGGAAGATCACTGTGTGTTTCTTTCACGCCACATTCCTGTTTTGATTTCCAGGCTTGCTTGTTTTCTGCTTTGTCTTCTGATGTTTAGGTAGTCTGCTTTCTCTTCTGCATTTGCTATGGAGTATATGCTTATAGAAAAATGGCTCTTAATTTTGTGAGTCATTTGGAATTTCTATCCCATTATACAAGGTGCTGGGTCTTTTCCCAGTTTTGATGCAGCCAACTCAAGTGACGGACAAAACACTGAATATTCTCAAAGTTTATCATCTCTTCTACTTGTTCTTTCAGTTATTAAATAAAGTACTATGAAATTTAAATAAGCACCTACTAGTCTACAGTCTCTCCAATTCCCAATCACAGGTCTACAGCCCATATCTAAATCACTAAGGGAAACTGAATCTCCACAGAAACGCCTGTATCCCCAGGTCCTAGGAATGTGATGTAGAGATGAAGAAGGTGCCAGAAAGTTACAGACTGTGCAAAGGGCTTCAGGGGATTCTGATGCACAAGCAGGTTTGAAAGTCACTTAGTTTCAAGTACTGTTTTGTTGATTTATTGAGATGTTCTACTCTACGAAGTAAGAGTCTTGTTAGAGTAATGACACTGCTTTACAGAGTTCATGGAAGATAAAATGAAAATGTAAATTCAAGGCCCAAACTACTAAGGCAACTTATGAGAAGCCAATGCATATTAACTCAATTATTATACTCTGGGGCATTTCAAAGAATAGATCACTGTCCTTATTTGTTTTGTTTTCTTTTAAAATGCCTACTGATCTATTTTTTCATATAATTTTAAAAAATACTACATATTTTAAAATTTTTATCTACAAGTTCAAATAAATTGTATGTCATTTTGATATTTAAAACTTAAAAATATAAGTATGTAATGAGTTCCAATTATAATTAAGATGCTAAAATAGATCATAGATCAGGTTAGAAAAGGAACTAAATGTATGGTAGTGCTCAGGTTTTAATTCCAAGCAATACCTTCTATTCCTACCTTGAATGACTGAATTAGGCAGTTACACAGAAAAATATGTAAAGGGGTCTATAAAACTCTGTTTTGCTTAAATGGTATTCTAGTAATAAAGATCAAAATGAATGAACCTAAACTACTGATTAAAAAAAAATCACAGAACAGAAACTCCATTTTTATTTATACACACTGTCAGAATGAAATTAGAAAGATACAACAAACATTAATCACATGGTGCCAGATAAAATGCAACAGGAATGTCCCACCTGCCACCTGATATTCTTGAATGAGGGGAAAAAACAAAAACAAAATGAAAGCAAAAAAATATCACCACCAAGACCTGAACTTCATGAAGCCTCAGGTTTTCCCTACACATTTATACAATATGCAAGGGCTGAAAAACATGCTAACATCACCATGCAGATTCAGCCAACTAAATCCAAATATGAGAAAAAGCAGAGGACATCTTTCTTGGTTTCTTTACAAATTAAGTACAAAGCAAACAAAACCAACTTGAAGGGACTTGAGGCCAAAAGAGATACTTATATACAGTAAAGAGAATCAACCAAATGTAATGAATGTCTGCATCAACCTTGTTTGGATCTCAACAGTCCAACTTACAAAGGAATTCAGACATTCAGAAAAGCCTGAAGATGGACTAGACTATGTGGTGACACTAAGAATTGTTTTCTTTAATGGCATTTTGATAATTTAAAAATCATATCCTTTAGAGCTATTTATGCTGAATGATTTGTATATAATTCTTAGTTTTATTTTTAAAATATCTCAAGGAGGGGGAGGGAAAAGTAGGTATACATGAAATAACATTGGCCATAAGTTAAGATAATATATTTTTCTTCTAAATATTTGTGCTAATATAGTCTGTTTCAAAGCCTCAGAATATAAATCACGATTAAAGCTTGCTTTAATAGGTAATATACTCTAAAAATAACATTTTATAAGGAATGCAAAAGCATCCTTCATTATACTATCAACTACAACTATAATCTTTAGAACAGCTTTTCTAAGTAGATAATAACAATTTAAAGGAACCCTAAACAAAAACAATCTGAGTGACTATAAAGCTCTCATCTTTGTTAAGCCTCAATAGTAAGCACAGTACTGTAGAATGAGAACAGGAACTTAATCTTGGGATTCCTTAACTCGTTTAATTTTACAGAAGCATTATCCAGATCCAAGAGTCTCTAGTTACATCTTACAAATAAGAATAACTTATTGTGGCATTTCTGCATAAGCAAAGATTGCTTATCTCTTCACTAGTTTGGTTAAAATAGAATAATGAGAGTCAGCAAAATCTGTGAAAGGGGTTAACTTAATCTTAAGCCTAGGAAAAAATTTTTGGTAAAATCAGCAGCACTTTACTAATTCATTTACTAAAAATAAATTTATGCTAGTTTAAAATTATGTTTGCACTGACAAGGTTAAAAGAGACTCTGATCGTAAGCAGTAAAAACTCTATTAGGAAAAAAAATAATATAAAGATTGGAAGGTGATTTCAAATTGATTTTACAAAGCTACAAGCATCAAGATGGTACCATATAGAGGCCGGGGATTTAACTCAGCGGTTTGGTGGCCTTCCTTACAAGGGCACAGACCCGAGTTCGATCCCCGGTACAAAAAAAAAAAAAAAAAAAAAAAAAAAAAAAAAATGGTATCATACTGGTGTAAGGGCAGATGTGCAGAAATAGATATATCCAGAAATAAACTCTCATATTTTTCAATTGCTTTTCAATAAAGAAGCCAAGAAAATTACATGGGGAAAGAACAGACTTTTAAAAAATGGCACTGGGACAAGTGCAAGTCCATCTGTGAAGGAATGAAGTTGACCCACGCATCACACCATATACAAAATTAATTCAAAATATTCTAGATCAAAGACTAGATGTTAAGAATTAAACCTATAAACTCTTAGGAAAACCTAAACAGTTGCAAATCTTTATGATCTTGAATCAGGCAATTGTTTCTCAGAAGGCACAACAAAGGAAAAATGGATAAACTCGACATCATCACCATTGAAAACTTCTGTGTTTCAAACACTATGCATAGAGTAAGAAGATATTTCAAAAGGAGGAAAATCTTGTGAAACATACATGGCATTATGAAAAAATAGTGAATGCTTAACTTTAAAAAATGTATTACTGTGAAAGACATAATGCCATCAATCTTTAAAATATTTAAAACACCCCCAACATACACTTTAAACATACTTATTCCATCATTTTTGTCACATGCATCTTTTACTGTAATAAGTTTTTTTAAAAAATTAAACATTTGCTGTATTTTGTTATCACCCTTTTTATATCTGATAAATGATTTTATCTAGAATATATAAAAGCTCTTACAACTCAATAAAAAAGGACAAATGACCCAATTAAAAAGTGGCAAAGAATCCGAACAAACATTTCTCTAAAGGAGATACAAAATGGCCAATAAATACTTGAATATATGGGGAATACCATTATCCATCAAGGAAATCAAAATGACAAGATACCACTTCACATCCACCAGAATGGATATAGCCAAAATGACAAACAATAACAGATGCTAGTGAGGATTTGGAGGAAAAAAAACAAACTCTCACACACTCATAGGAATACAAAGTGTGGTAGACAACTGGAAAGTAGTCTGGAAATTCCTCAATATGTTAAAAAAGAGGTAAAAAATAACACAGAAATTCTATTCCTAGGTACAGATTTATGAGAAATGAAAATGTTTATACATTAAAAAACATACACAAAATGCACATAGTAGCATTATTCATGGTATCCTTGGGTTGAGGGTACAGCTCAGTGCTAAAGTGCTTTGCCTAGCATGTATAAGGCATGAGTTTGATCCTTAGTACGGAGAGAAAAAAAAGTGAAGCATAATAGCCTAAATGTGCTAATTTAAATGTCAATCAACTGATAAATGGATAAACAGATGTTGCATAGATACTAGAAAATATTACTTGGCAATAAAACGGAATGAACTACTGGAATATATTACAACATGAATTAACTTTAAAAACATCATGCATAGTGAAAGGAACCAGTTACAAACAACTATATAGTGCATAATTCCACTTATATGGAATGTCTAAAACAGGGAAATATACAGAGATAGAATAAACTAGTGATTACCTAGGGCTAGAAGTGAGGTCTGTGTCAGTGGAAAATGAGTATTAATTGCTAATGGGTGTAGTTGCTTCTTGGCATGCTGAAAATATACTAAAGTGGGTTTTAGTGATGGTTGTGAACTTCTGAATATACAAAAAGCACTGAACTATAGACTTTAAATGGGCATGCTATCTGGTTGGTGAATTATACCCCTATAAGGCTTTCATTTAAAAGAAAGAAGGGAAGAAAATATTCTACAGCTAAATGGGAATGTTCAGTTATCTTTATTCTTAAACCTCTGAAACAAACAGATACAAACTATAATTTCCTCTAACTAAAAATGTCTGACCCTTCCGAAATGAGACTTAAAATCAATTGATCTCACTGCTAGATTACAGGAGGCTACATGGAAAAATGTTGCCTATAATTTAACCAGATAGAGAAAATGTCTCCATGCACATTTGATGCATAGATGCTATAATTTTACAACAGCAGACTCCCTCCCCTAAACAATTATCCTAATTGAATGTCACTGGTCTTTACATTCACTAAAATACGGTATACTACTACAGTCATTCAACATTTATTCAGCCTAATTTTTACTTTTCTAAAAGGTTAGAGAAAAATAGATTTAATGAGCTAAAAACTGGAAGGGGGTATAAAAATAATCTTCCTCATCAGATTATTTCTAAACTGTTATAAATTTTTTTAATGAAATAAAGATAAACTTACATGATGCAAAAATCTTAGTCTTCCAAAAATTCACATTGCCTACAAGGGAAAAATCCAGAGGCTATTTTATTTTCCAGTACATCTTATCAAGAAAGATTTGCTTAAGTGCATCAAAAATGTTTTCTATTTAAGAGAAAGTTTTACAAGTCATTCTTGAAAATAATGAGAATTTCTTTCCCCCCAAGGGAATATTTTCTACTTCACTGTTTCTAAGAATACAAAGGGTTAAAATCATGTAAAATAGATTTTCTCACAGTTGGAGGAGAGCAAAAACACCACAAATAGGAAACCAGACAGCTAGGGGGTCAAAACACTACACTTCCAGGTCAGACTTCTGGTTGCAATTAAGTAAAATTCTTGCAAATATTTGTAAGGAAATCATATTTTTGGTGTCCCCTTTCAAGCCTTGTAACTTTAATTTTTTTTAGCTGCAACTTATATTTGTGGGCATATACATACCTATACATTCACTAAATACACACAGAAACACAAACATACACATTTACTTGGATATACACATGTATCTATGACCCTAGAATTACAATTTGACCTTGGCCTAAAACTTAAAACTAGAATCTTTCCCTGGGCATTCTTTTTTTTTTTTTTTTTTTAATGCTTGAGACTATGTGGAGTTAGTTTTGTTTTTGCTTAATGGAGACACAGATAATTTCCTCATGATATTTCACAAAATATATTTGGCCAAGTATTACACTAGGCTACAAGGCTCTTGATGAAATAGTTAAAAGAAGTTTTAACTGGGTTGGAATTTAAAGTATAAGTAATGACAGTAACTGTAGTAGAACAACAAATATGAACAAACTATATAATTAAGGTATTCAATGTTATTAAATATGGCTCCACTCAATTACTTAGGAATAACCTAGGTGTTCTTAATGCTTCATAAATATCAATCTGCAGAAATTTCATTTTGAGACAGGGTGTCTTATAGTATCAGAGGAAGCAGATATTCTTGGCCAACATAGAGAAGTTATTGTACAGAATATAAAATTGTTCTGATTATAAACAGCTGAAATAGTTAACTAAAAATATCAGCAACTATAAAAAGTCATAAATGTAGATTCTGTACTCTTATTCTAAATAACTGAATAGTTAGCATGCCATGTTTGGGAATCTGAAGATGAAAGCTCTCTAGTTTTTAATCATTATGTGGATTTTAGTCTCCAAAATTCCCAACATATTTGGTTAGCAAATCTCAGTCCCAAGACATTAAGCTACAATGCCTGAGTTTACACTAGAGCCTCACTATTTGCCTTTTATTTCCTTCAAAGTCAGAGTGTTCTTATTTATATTTAGTACATTAGATTATAATATATTCTCTTTCAAGCTTCCTTATGGGTATTAATATTAGTGATCTGAAGCTTAGTTACTAAGAATGTTAAAATCTTGGCATTATGAGGGAAGGTCTTTGCCAAAGGTAGGGTGGTGGTGGGGTAACAGACAAACTGGTAAATACTATAGTTAACCCTAGATATGGAAAGGACTACTGCTGTAGTGTTAACAGACACGAAACTCCCAAGAAACAAATAGGCCAAGGTAAAAAGCTGTCAGTCTACCTTGTTATCTCACACATTAAAAAGAATTATATGCTACCTGTATGAGAAAAGGCCATTGTTTTATGGTGAGGAGGCAAGGCACCTTTACTTATTAGTATGTATTAAACACAGGAAGAGTAGCTCCTTCCAAAACTTCAACCAGGATATGCCATAGCACAGCCTAGTAGGAGTCACACTGCCCGTGTGTGTCCCCCACTCTACTCAACTCCTCAGTACACATGCACACATCTGCTTTGTGGCAGTTAAATCATTGGAAAAATGTAAAGTCAGTGCTACTATGTTCCTGTCATGTGGAGGTAAACTACAATTTTCAGTGCTCTCCTCTGCTGGGTAAAACTGGAGAACTGGAAGCCGTCCATAGGTGGTCACCATCAGAAGTACTGTGACACACCAGGTTACAAGAAAAAAAAAAAAAGATTTTCTTTTTAATCTCTTCTCTGTCACTTTAAAAGAAGGTGGTTTTCTTTACTTTTCTTCCACTTTTAGCAGAGAGAAATGCCAACCAGTTCTACCTGATTGCCAAAAGGGTTATGTCTTTAAAATATCTAACACCGTATTGCAAGTCTTCATGGAGCTAATGGGTAGGGCTTTCAGACATTTGGTACAACTTGTTGGATATTTGCTATAAGTCTTACAAATCAATATGTGATGACAAAGATCTTCCTAAAAGAGTACTGGGGAATTTGTTAGAGCTGCTGTGAACATTCTTATTTCAAGATACACAGAAGGGGCTAGGTGGGCAGAGTTTTCACCTAATTATCTATCTATATAACTATCTATCTATCTATCTATCTATCTATCTATTTATCTATCTATCTATCTATCTGGGTTCAGTCCCCACTACTGAAGGAGGGTAAGGGATGCAGAAACTAGGCAGCAAAAATTTCAGCTACAAATGTGAACCAACTTATATAATGCAACAATAATATTGGACTTGCATCATCATAAAACTCCCCAAAAGTACTGACACTATAACTTGAAACTATGCAAAGGCAACATAGACTTGGTTTCATGGAGGAAAAACTGACATCGTTCTGATGCTTAGGGTAGTGGGTTCTGGGAGAGGGGCGTGCAGGAAGAGAATGAAGCAGTGCACTCACAGGCCAACAGGATCATCCTTTTTTTTTTTTTTTGTCTTTAGGGAATTTCATGCTAAAAACAGCTTTATTATTATTAGTATTATTATTATCATATTAAAGCAATACATTTTCAAGGTGAAAAGATAATGTTAATATACAAAAAGAAAAGCATTAAAATCATCCCAAAGTAACTGCCATTAACATGGTGGGTTGTCTTTTTTTTTTAACAGCATTTATGGGAGAATTTTAGGCATATGTAATGATAACACTCATCACAGGGAATTTGCACCTATACATGGTAGATCTTGCGCCTTTTTTCCATGCCCCGCCCCTCCCCTCCCTATGTACAAAAGCTTTGTTTCCATTTTTTCCTTCCATTTTCATTTTTTTCTTGTCCCTTCCTTTTTGTCTCAACATAATCATTCTAAAAAGGTCTATGCTAACATCGAAAAAGATTTCTGGGTGAGTCAAGCTGAAGTTTGACAACCACTTCACGTGATGAACAGATTTTAAACTTTTTTCAAGTCTTTCCCATCACACTTTTTCATATTTTAGTTTCTTGTAAAATTAAAAAGTGGATGAAAGATCAGGCATCACAACTCTGGCAATATCCTCAACAGGTAACTATAATAATTGGAAACATTACTCCCAAAGTTTAGAGATTTTTTTTTTTCAGTTCCATTTATTACAATAAATGGTTAGAACAGTCTCCCTGGTTTTTGAGAAAGCAAAGCATCTTATGTTGTCATTGTTGCTTTAGCACACTTTTAGTAAAAAGTATAAAACTTCAAGTGTTACAAATTGCCCATTGCTGGAAAAATAATCTTTGGTGAAACTGTGGCTCATTCAACAAAGGGAGTCCAGGCACTTGCTTTCATTGCTGCCCTTTTAAGCTTTTCATGTGTGGATGAAAGCCTATAAAATGTTTTGATTGAGTATATTATGGGGAGAAATGTAAATAATAACCAAAGCTATTTAAACACGTGTAAAAAGAAAACACATGTTTCCACAGAGCTCCACAACAGACCCAGGGAAACCTGTTTCTCTTTATAAAGGCTGTGAATAGAACAAGCAATGTCTTAACTATTAAGAATATTTAACAAAATGAAGATAACTGGAAATGTGCTATGCTGCTTTACTGTTTATAAAATCACACGAGCAACTATTTTTTCCCTTTTTTAGTCCTCTGTGTCTGACTGTGAAGTCAGAAAATGGCCTCCACCTCCCTCCTCCTGTGCCTGCAGCCCAGCTCCATCCTGCTGCCGAGTGCCCAGGGCAGCAAACGCAGCATTGCATGGTAAGAGATGACTCACGCAGAAAGTGATGATAAAAACAGTATTATTTGTCAAGGCCTGTGTTTATTCAGGTTTAACAGTTGCTGGATATACAGTATGTTTTACAGTTGTTAACATGGAAGAGAAAGGCCAGCTGAAGGGAAGTAGATGGGTGGTGTTCTGGGCAAGTTTGCACAGCCATTTCTGAAAATGCCTGAAGGTTTATATATAGAGGAAGGGCTGGGTACAAAGGGGAAAAAGTGTTTCACTTCCAAAATTTATTTTAAATAGGAAAAGACCCTGTTTTCAATAGGCTGAGATAATAAATAGAAATCAGAATACCACATATACAAATTTGCACTCACAGGCACGCCACCTGGGAGAGAGAGGGCTCACAAGCAAGTCTGTGTCTAGAGCAAGAAAGCTTTCTTTGGCAGGGACTGCACCACATCAGGCGTTAGGGAGAGGTGTGGAACGTTTCTCAGACAGAGGGAAGAATAGGAAGAACTTGCTTGTTTTGGCGACAGTGTCTTTTTCTCTTTCTCCTCTTATGCGAACACCCACTGATTTCCTAGTGCAGTGGCAATGTGCCCCACCGCAGAATGCTGCCAGGGAGGCGGGTGTTGACATAGAGAGAGGAAGCCTGGAACATCCCGCACACCATACCTGGGATGCCACAGAACAACTCAAGGACGCTGCACACTTTGGCTGGCTAAGATTTTACGGGAATATTCAGCTTAGTAGAAAAAGCCAAAAAGAAGGCTCTGCAGACAGAAACGACAGTACCCAGGAAAATTTAATTTATTTTATGGCATTTTCCAAAGGCTTGGGTTTCTCAGATCTTAAATACAAGAAAAGATTATACAAGCCAGGCGTGGTGGCTCACACCTGTAATCCTAGCACTCAGGAGGCTGAGGCAAGAGAATCGCTGTGAGTTCGAGACCAGTCTGAGTTACATAGTGAGTTCCAGGTCAGTCTCAACTACATAGTGAGACCCTGTCTCAAAAAACAAAACAAAACAAAACAAACAAAAAAACAAAAAAACAAACCAAATGAATGCATTATGTTGAAAAAAAAAAAAAGTCAAGGTTATACAAAATAGAATAATAGGC